GGCCCCAGCCTATGGAAAATTTATATACATATTTGCTAAGCCAGCAAAATTTGCTCTCATATCCTTTAGTTCTTATTTGTCCTAGAGTCAACTGTAGTGTACCCTCTCTTGTATGTGTAAAAAGGTAAGTTCCTTGTGAACAAGTGTTGTCAGTTGCATCAGCTTGCTTTTTAAATTGTTTGTACATATAGACATTCTGTGTTGCTTTACCATTTACTCCTGTTGAAGGGGAAGGGCCAGAACCTCAGCTGATAAAAATCGGTGTAGTCCCACTGAAGCCAGTGGAACTACAGTGATTTACAATATTTTATTCTATATATATCCTTGTACTGCCCTTATCACTTTAGTATCTGAACACCTTCTGGTAGTACAATGTGACTAACATCTGTGTCATATGGCTCTTTCTCTCATCTTCTCCTCAGAGAAAGAGTTGGATGTACAGCGGAGCATTTTGTTTTGATAGAGTACTGAGACTGTTTTTTTAAATATCCACACTGTTCTGTACCTATGGAGGGAAGCCAAGGTCAAACAAATGGGCCTTGAACTTAGAATGGAAGGTGGTGAAGTTTGTGATGGTCCTTAGTTTCTAGGGGAGCTCATTCCACAACCATGGAAAGGCTCCAAGAAAAGCTGTTTCTTGCATAAATTAACTTTACACTTTCTATAGAAAGTTCCATTGTGCCAGAAGAGCAGTTGTATTGACCATGGTCCTTATCACTGAGCTTTTGGTTTTGTCAACATGCTCAAGTTTAAAGCTCTGCCACTGCAGTGCTTTAATACAGCCTGTGATCATGGCAAGAGCTCTCTCCCAGTGACTTAGAGGTGAGTAGCTAGCAGTGCTGGGAGTCTGTTTACATTGATGCTTTACAGCACTGTAACTTGCTGCGCTCAGGGGGTTACTTTTTCACGCCCCTGAGCCAGAGAGTTATAGCACAGTAACCTGCCAGTATTGACAAGCCCTTAGACTCTTTTACATATCATGGACCTAGCCCCTTGAGCATGTTAAAGGTAAGAACCTGAGACCTTCAACTTGACTTGATATTCCCTGGGAAACCAAGGTATCAAGGGGAAAACAGGTCCAGTGTGCTCCTAGTAGCTTGTGTTGCTGAGGAGATGTTCTGCAGCGTTCTGCAGGGAGATGACCCTACATACCTTTGATGATATATCACTTGGTTGTTAATCCTAGAGACAGTATATTCACTGAGCTGAATACTCCATCAAACCTTCTTACCTAGGAGGGGTGTTGTGTGGTTTAATTAGTGTTTGTAAAGCCCTTTGAAATTCTTGGATGAAAAGCAATATAGAAGTTCAATAGTAGTGTTAATAATAGGCGCACGACTGGTCTGTCAGTTGGATAAATGAGCACAACAGATGCAGAAAGCAGTTCAAGCTAATATTTTTCCACTGGAAGACGGTAGGGAGGGGGGTTAGATTAACTTATTTTTCATTACCCCACAAAGCTGGGCAGGGGGCTGCCCCCCATATCTTCCAAGAACCCTCCTTCCTGCAGCCATGTGGCCTTTGGGAAAAAAACTGCAGGGAGAAACTAGTCATAGACTGATATGCCATTTGCCATTATCACTCTATGTGCTGGTGCCATACCCTACCATGATTCCACCTTGTCTATGTGGACTGTAACGTTTCTGGGGCAAGGACTCTCCCTCCTTGTGTTTGGACAGTGCCTAGCATATAGGACCCCATTCTCAGTTGGCCTGTAGGCACTATTGTAATAAACATCAGGAATAATAAATGAGCAAATACCCTGTGTGGAATTTGTATTTATTCAGCTGATACATTTCCAGGAAACTTGACTAGTTACTAGTGATTACACACAGATTGAGACACCAGAAGTACAAAGGCCAACTTTCCACATCCATCACTATTTCATTTACCAAGAAAGAAGAGTGGTGGTATTGGTTTGGAGGTGTTTGACATGAGGCCTATATACATTGCCATTGAGCATCTGGGGATCAGCAACTGTACTATGGGGATGAATACAGAGTCTAGATGTGTCAGTCTTAGAACTGTAAATTTACGATTCAGCTGTGACCACAAAGATGGCTTAGAACAAAAAGGTACAGTGGCTTGTCATTAAAAAGGCATCATCTGCCAACTGTTACAATGCAGTGTTATTTGAGATATTAACTATTCTCCCTGTTCTAATAAATAACTCTGGATATTACACAGTTTCTGATGGCAGACTTCTTTGTATTTGTGACAAAATGTTAAAATGCAAGATTCAGCAGTGTTTACAGCAACTGTCACAGCCATCTTGCTTTAAAGTGTTCACTCTTTCTGTCTAAACTGCAGTGACCATTACTTCACCTTCCCATGATGGGTTGTTAAGCTGACCTAAACCCCCTTATAGGTATCGCTCACCTAGCTGCCGCCTCTGAAGGTGTTTGGATTTACTACAACTATAGAAAAATTGTTCTGTCCTCATAGCAAATGTCTACCCTACAGTAGTATATAGAGTGGCCAACAGACTTCCCTGAGCCTAGGCAAAGCGGGGGAGGGGAGTTCCCGAGCTGGCCCTTCAGTGCCACCTGAGTCTCTGGCAGCAATTTAAAGGGCCTTTGGCTGCTTCTACTACTCCTGTAGCAGCAGTGGTGACCAGGATCCCTATACCCTTTAAAGCTGTTTCCTTTTCCCCCTCTGTGTAGCTGCAGTGTGTTGATGTAGCACTTCTATAGGTTGAACCTCTCTAGTCCAGCACTCTCTGGTCCAGCACATGCGCTGTCTGGCATGATTTTAGTTAACTAGCCGACCACTTATCACGGTTGTGGCCAAATTTCCCATGGTCCCCTAAAGTTTGTTTACAGCCACCAGTCCTGGCTGTCAGTGTTCTGTGCTGTTATTTAGCTCTAATTTACTCCTAAGTGTCTTCTAAGAGCCCAGTAAGCAGTGAAAGTGTTGGTAATGCTGCTAGATAATACTGACTTTCCATGGTTTGGTAAATTCTCTGCTTGGCACAGGTCAGGTCCTGAAGGTGCAAGACTAGAGAGATTCAACTTGTATTGTAGATATATCTTGAGTCAAGAGAAAAAACACTTGCAATACAACCTGACAGGGAATTCCAAGAAAAACATGTGGGAAGGACTAGACAAACCAAGTTGTACAAAATAAGCATTAATTAGAAGCTTTGCCAAATGTTCAGCCTGAACCGAAACTATTTTTTAGTAAGAAACAGTTGGATATAAAGCCTCTACTAGTAAACAAAATTACACAACCCCTTAACTCTCTATTTAAAAAAAATGTCCTGGCAGGACAACAGAGTGATGTCATCACGTCACTCTATGTCCTGCCTCAACCCTCCCTTGTGGCCTCGCCCCAGGAGCTCTGACCAAGTGATCATCCAGGGAGGGAGGAAGCAGCTCCATTCCCCGGTGCCCCCTGGAGCAGCATCCATCTGCCTCTGGCCCCCGCCTTAGCCTGTGCAGCCTACATGCCTGCTGCACAGCTTTGCTCTGTGTGGCCCGGTCCAAGCCACAGCACTTGGCAGGTGCCCTGCAGGTCTCCCTGCGAGTGAGTGACTCCTGCATGTGCCAGTGACCCAGCACCAGGCCTCTGGCTCAGGCATGCTCTCCCAGGCCTGTCACAAGCTGGGCAGGTCTTCTTGGCCATTCCACACAGCTGGCCATTTGGGGATTGTCGCAACTTGGTTCAGTGATGTGATGGGAGCTCCCAGGGGTTAAAGCCGACTACACAGTCAAAACGACTGGATGATGGTGAAACAAATGTTTTTTTATTAAACAGAATGGTTCTTTTATCAAAAATCAAGTGTCTTTTAAATGAATTTTAAAACAAGCAATTGCCTAGTGCTTTTACAGGAGGGGAAAACTGAACCAAACTGCACATTACAAACTTTGTGATTATAATTCAATTATATTAAATCACTATCTCTAATTCGCTTAAGGCAGCACAGCATGCAAGCAAAAAATACAAAAACAAAGCCAATATAATGATAATAAAAACTCAGTCCACAGCCAGCCCCTCTATGGTTATTTTAGGCGGCTGGTGGAGTTAGTTATTAATCTACCTCTACAACTTAACAATTCCTAGGTTTCTATTTCTAACACTTATACTTGGCCTAAATACAACACCACTACACAACACAAGATTATACAATTTATGCAGTGTGGTTAATAGAACTCAGTTACACTCTACAGAATTACACAGTGAAATTAACATGATTCAAATATTAACTAAACCAATAACTAATATATTAAAGCAATACTTACAAATCCAGCAATGATAACAACATAAAGACACACTAGAAATTGGAGCATGCTCAGGACTCGCACACCCCTATCTTTGACTCAAAGGGTGGGGAGGCAGCCTCAGGGTGATCAATCCTTCAGCCGGGCAAAAAAGACATGTGCCCTCAACACTCGGAACCTCCTCGAACAAAGGGGTCGAGGGTCTTTTATAACATAACCTGATATCCGGTACCTTATTAGGGTCTGTTCCCTGGCCGGGTCTGATAGGCTGGCAATGAGGTAATGTGCAATATTGCCCTATAGGATTTTTCATGATGCCCACCTGATGGCCCCGTGGAAAGTGCCGGGTGCGGGCATGGTCAGTGTGTATGGCAGTTGCATCATATCTCCCTTTGCCTACCTCCCTACCTTCAAGGACCGGTCAAGAGAGTCTTATTTATCTCTTGCAGCTGTGCTCTATCTTTTCATGCTCACCTCCCTGTTCTATGATGCCTACAAGGTTAAATTCCATTCACAGAAAGCTGCATTGTGTGCTTACAAGTTATGCTTTCTCAGAGTGTGTCAGCGGCCTATATTTTCTGTGAGGGGCCTTTGTGTGGCAGAATGAGCAATGCGCGTGCGAGGCCGTGGTCAAAAGGACCTGCTCTGCAACTGGGATGGCATGGTTACACGGTTGTGGCTGCTTCCCAGGCTCTCCAGAAAGGCTGCTCTTGGCTCCCTGCGCTCGCCACAGAGCAAAGCTGTCCCAACAGGCCCATTCAGAAAGGCTGGGCTGCGAGCGGGCTGTGTCCTGCTGCAATGGCAGGGGTTGTGCTACCCAGCCTGATGGTGCTCTTGGGCAGAGGGGTACACAGCTCAACAAAGTTGTGGCAGGGGGCAGAATGTGTATAGGGAGGGAGGAAGGGGGATAGGGTATATTTGGGGATGGGTGGTGTGGTTAGGGTTGCCAGGTGTCCGATTTTGAACAGAACAGTCCAGTATTTGAGCTTTCTGTTCGGGAAACAAATTGAGAAAATATAAATGAGAACATATAAATGTCCAGTATTTTCTAAATAAGATGTAATGTAGATTGTGATGTCATGTCAAGTGTGTCCGGTATTTTTGTTGAAACAATCTGGCAACCCTAGGGCTACGTCTACACTGGCATCCCTTCCGGAAAAGAGATGCTAATGTAGCACGTGGGAATAGGCAAATCCGTGGGGGATTTAAATATCCCCTGCGGCATTTGCATTAACATGGCTGCCACTTTTTTCCGGCTTGGGGAAAAGCCGGAGAAAAGCGCCAGTCTAGAC